TCCTTAACTCTGAGCAATGTTACGTCCCGACTGACACCGACTGACACATTGAGCTAACGTAAGCCACTCTCTTATTAGCTTGCCTATCCGCGAACCTTTCTCTATCTTCATCCTTCAGTCTGAAACAGAAGTCACCAGCCAAGCGTCTATATATGACAAGAATATTTATTACGATGAAAGACTAACATTAAAGGAATAGTTATACAGGTGGAACTAAATAACATTGATGTGTGAATGACACTAGATTTATAATTCTAAATTTAAATAAACTGTGTATAGTAGCTTCATTCAGTCAGTGAATTTATCATGATTACCTTAAGACAGACCATATTTGCTGAGAAACTTCATTTCTTTCCGAGATCAGTATATCTTTAAATCTTTTATCAAGTAAAAAATATTTCTATAAACTATTTCTCATAGTATCCACAATATTTTCTCAGGTACACCGCAGTGTTGAAGAAGTTCCTATAATGTTCTTCTATCCACACTGTAAAACGCCTCATAGTCAAGGAAGTTGATGTATAGTGAGGGGTTCCATTCAATTGATTGTTCAAAGACGATCCGAAGTGTCGTGATTTCGTTTGTACGCCGTCGATCCTTACGGAATCCGGTCTGTTGATGTCGAAACTGGACGTCTACTGAATCTTTTATCCAGTTCAGCAACACTGTCGAAAAATTTTCTTGGTATCGATATTAGTGTGATGCCTGTGTAGTTACCACACTTGCTCAGATCTTCCTTTGGTATCTTCATGTGTTATACTTCTTTTCAGTTTGTCCGCACTTCTTCTCTCAAATCTTCCTGAGTAGAACATGGGGCATATTTGCAGTTACTCCTATGTCTGACTTCAGCGCTTCAGCTGGTATATTGTCAGGTCTTGCTGCTTTCCCACTCTTGATTTGTCTGATGACCGGCCATCCTGATGGTTATTGTTGGTAGTGACATTCAGAGGAAGGCCTGTGTGTGTGTTGCTTTGATGTCCAGTGGATTCAATGGAGCTGGTCTATTCAAGAGTTTCTCGAAGTATTCTACCCATCTGTTCCTCTGTTCTTGAATCTCAGTGATTGGCTTGCGTTCCTTGTCCTTGACCGGTCTCTTTGGTTTACTATATTTCCCTGTCAGTTTCCTCATTATATCATAGAGTTGTCTGATATTTCCTTCTCTTGAAGCTTTTTCCATTGTCGTTGTTAGGTCTTTCACATATTTCTGTTTGTCGGCTCTAATGCTCTTCGTGACTTTTTTGTTTACTTCAGTGTGTTCAGCTAGTGCCTTGATCTTCTCTGTTCTTGTTATTCTGTTGTTAATTGCTGTCTTCTTGTTCTTTCTTTCTTTGATCTAGTCCAGTGTTTCTATGGAGATCCATTCCTTATGATGATGCTTCTTGAGGCCCAGAACCTCCTGACATGTTGAAGTTAATACTTCTTTTATCACTTTCCAGTTGTCCTCCATAGTTGTTTCTTCTTTCGGTAGATCCTATAAGGCTTGAAGTCTGATGTTCAGAGCTATCTTGAATTGCTTTGTCAGTATATCAAAGGAAGGCTGCATTAAACTTTTGTGATGCTATTTCTCAAGTTGTCCATTGCTTCCTTTGTTTCAGTTTCATATTGGCAACCACCAGGTGGTGGTCTGAAACTATGTCAGCCCCTCTCCTGATTCTCACATCTTCCATTGACCTTGTGGAATTTCTACTGATGCAAATATAATCCATCCGGTTCTGTGCAGTTTGACCCGATGAGACCCATGTAGCTTTGTGTATGTGTTTGTGTGGAAATATTGTGCCGTCTATGACCAATATGTTGAATGCACATAGATTTGCAAATCTTCCCCCATTTTCGTTTCTCTCTTCCAGTTCATTCCGTCCCATGATATCTTCATATCCGGTGTTGTCTATTCCGACTTCGGGGTTTAAATCTTCTATCAGGATGGTCAAGTCCTTTCCTGAGCATTTCGCTAAGATCGATTGCCGTCTCTCATATAACTGATCTTTACCGTCGTTGTTGCTACCATTGGTGCATAACATTCGTTGTGATCCCCTTCTTCTTTGTTTTGAAGGATGCTTTGATGATTCTGGGTCCATGAGACTCCCATTCCATAAGTGCACCTCGTGCTTCTTCGAACAGCATCAGAACAACTCCGAGTGTGCTGAGCATTTTCTTCTCCGTGACCAGAATACAGAAGCATCTCCCCCTAATCTAAATTCTGCTGTTCAGCTTAGGTCCAATGAATTTACCGTCAAGTTGTATCTCCGCATTTCCGCAGCTATTTGATTAGTCGTTCCGACCTCCCACATTGTCCGAACATTCCATGTACGTACATTAATTGTCGCTCTGGTTGTTGGAAGTGGCATCGGCCTCGTGATTTCCGAAAAATCTCGGCTTTCATCAAGAGGCGTCATAATTGTTCCTTCAACTTGGAGGACAGAGTTCAAATGGTTTAATTTGTTTAATATGGTTGGCGTCTTCTAGCAAGATTTTTTTCTACGGGATGGGATTGCTGACCCTATCCCTACCCTCCTTTACCCGGGCTTGAGATCGGCAGTAACCCTAGAAGAGCTGCAGGCGGATTTAACAATATAACACATTACTTTTGTTCATCATATTGATAGATTCACAAAATACCATTTCACTAACCCTACTCCAACTATATGGACCAAATGTATCAGTCAGTCAACCAACATGAGACCTGACAAATATGAGCATAGGCTTACATCGCTATATCACAACAGTATTTTGAAATGAGACTAACGAGGTGAACAATGAAGAAATCGAGATAACATAGTAGTAATAATGATGAGAAAGAATGAACATTCAGAATATAATTCGGAAAGACATAATTATAAGGCATGTATGAAGGAATACTGAAATACGTCCATACAACCACTGTCAGGGAAGACCTAACCACTACCTTCTCGCGGCATTACTGATGTTTACGAAATTGAGAGGACGAAAAGCGGAATTGATGGACACGGAGATTCCACCTTGGGGAGTTGGGAAACCCTCATTCCAAACCAAAGGTGCACATGGAATGCAGTATCCTGAGGGTACAAATGGCGTATGAACCTATTGTTGGTCACCGGCTAACATGGGACTGCATCTCCTAACGTTGCTCCACTGCCTTGTGGACCAGACCTTTACATCGAAGGCTCTGGGTGTGGCCCCCTAGGGAAACCACCTGCCTCGGTTTAGGCAGCCGGGCAGTATCACAGCCCTAACACAAATCGAATGATTTATGTGGCGCATATCTATTTGGTACCTCCTTGTACCAATGTTTATATGTTTAAATAAATAAAATAAAGTAATATAAATACCGAGTGCTACATCTATGTGACCCTCTTCCTTTACCCGGGCTTGGGACCAGCAGTAACTCTGGAAGAGCTACAGGCAAGATACTCAACACCCATTGGCCGGATACCATCAGCAACAGCCTTCTATGGGAGAGAACAAACCAGCTTCCAGATGAAGAGGAAATTAGGAAAAGACGATGGAAATGAATAGGACATATATTACGCAAATCCTCAAACTGCATCACGAGGCAAGCCTTAACTTAGAATCCTGAAGGGAAGCAGAAAAGAGGAAGGCCAAAGAACACATTACGTCGAGAAATAGAATCAGATATGAAAAGGATTAATAACAACTGGAAAGAGCTGGAAAGGATTGTCCAGGACAGAATTGGATGGAGAGTGCTTGTAGGCAGTCTATGCTCCTCCACGAGGAGTAACAGGAGTAAGTAATTATGAAACGACTCACAATTACAAATAACACAAAAGTAAAAGTCTATTTTTGTTTTAAATAATTACTTTTTTTTCAAATTCTGTTCATAATAATAATATTAAATAAATTAAGAAAAGTTATCCTAGAAATTACCAAACATAATCTATTTTAGCAACATTCAGAATAAATAAATAAATAAATAAATAATAATCATACTCATTAAAATATGTCAATAAAGTAGTAAAACAATAATTGTACTCATCATAAAATAATGTATCAATGAAGTGAGAAAGCAAAATAGGGTGAATGAGCGAGATAAGTTTAACAAGGAAGTATGTATGGTCGGTTATGTGTATGTGTCTTGTTCTCTCTCTCTCTTTTTGTCACATACACAGAAACTTTCAGACACATTGTGTATTCATTCCACTTGGAACTGGTTAATCTGTTTCGTTGTTTTCATATTTTGAATGAGAAGAATAATACCATACTATGGGAAGAGTGTACATAAAATACATGCGCATAAATATATGTTATACACATAAATTGAAATCTAGGCAACGAAAATAATAATAATAATAATAATTGTTACTATTATTATGAATAATAGTAACATCGATAACATAAACATTGGAAATATGTGTTTGGCACAAAATATCAGTAGTGAAGAGAATAGGAAGGAAGGAAGAATAAGCTAACTGTTGATTTTTCAAAGCGCGCGCGTGTGTATGTCTATTTTCCCTAGCATATGGTATGCAATTACTACATGGCAGACCAACGGCAAACAAAAACAGACAAAATGAAGTACATCGTTGTTGTTGTTGTTGTTGTTGTGGTTAGACGGAAGGATGAATATAACAATTTACTGATTAGTAGTCTGTTTAAAAAAGAGAAGAATACGGTTTTTTCCTTCATTTTTTTTAAAGATAAGTAACAAACAATAACAGTTGTAGTAAAAGTATTAGTACCAGTAGTACGAAAGAGAGAACAAATGAGGAAAAGGAAAAAGCGCCGAATGTTAATTGTGACTATCTGCTGAAGAAAAAAATAGCTCAAGACAGGAAGAAATAAAACAAACTTATTAGTCGGAAAAAGTTCATCATTATAAGGCCAATAATATTACTTGTAAAAATATTTTTCCTAAAAAATAAGAACCAAAGACAATAAGGCTGACAAAAATAACACAACAAGGAATGTATTTTTCTGGAAAAAAGACGTATGTATATATATACATTTATATATATATATATAATATATATATATATATAAATCATATAAAAATTGCACTTATTCTGTTAATTTATTGCTTCAATAAGGTGAATACCATCTGTATGACTGACAGCAGCTACAGTAGACCAAGGTCTCCAACTAACCTGCAACCATTTACGTCCAACATCCACAGTGAATATGGATTCATTAACATTGGGATTATTAGTACTAGTATTATCATTAATATTATTATCTGAAAATGATGATCTGGTAAAGTTTTCAGTGATATCAATCAAATCATCATGTATCCTTCGTGGCCACGTTAATTCAGTACCGTCGGGTGATGATGTTGATGATGATATAGGTGAAACAAACACAGAAGTATTATCATCAGTTGTACGAAATGCATCATGGAATGCATTCATATCTTCATCTTGCATAATCAGTTTATAAGAACCTTCAATTGGATTTTGTCGATCAAATACTTTCACAGTATTATTATATGAACCAGTCATTATACAACTAGGAAAAAGAGAATAAAATTGTTTTACTGTCAAAACGAAACTTGAAAAAAGAACGTATGAATAAATAGTTTTATGAACAATAAATATCAATAATTTCAATAGTTGAGATCATGAGTCAATGGAAGCTAGACCACCATGGAAAACCTGGACGCACTGGACGGCCAACTCATCCTATTGTGGGGCTCCTCAGCAGTGCGCACCCATGACCCCGCCTAGCGTGACTCGAACCCAGGACCTATCAGTCTAGAGCGCGAGCGCTTTACCACTAAACCACTGAGCCAGCATCCAACAGTGTTCAATAATAATACTAATAAATAAATAAATAACAACATTTCGGTGTTTCCCTTTCCGTATAATCCTTTTTTTATCGCCCTCTGTATTTACGTATATTTCATCTATATTTGTTGAATTATTTGCAAATATCATGTTATTAAAGTGTCTAGAGAATTTCAGAATTGACTAACTCTTTGATGTCATTGAGTCTTACTTAACATCATCTTTCGGTGGTTACCATTTTAGATTACTGTACTTCGATTATGGCTGTACGAACGTATTGCTTCCATTTTCTATTAATGAAACTGAAGCGCATCCTCTACTTTTTAGGAAAATTCGCCATTGATAACCACTAGTTAACTGTATAATTTTTCCATATCTTGTATAATTATTTACTTTATAGTTGATTATACGTTGATGGCCTATGCTCCTCCACGAGGAGCAACAAGTGTAAGTAAAACTTCTTCATAAATAACATGACCGATATAAAGAAGTTAGTGACCAATATGTTTTTAAATTTAGAGTCGGGAGTCACTCCCAAAAACACCAACGGCACCGATGTACTGGAATTACTCGGATTCTTAATGACTGACTAATTGATGTGCCGAGATTTGTAAAGTGTAACAAATTGAACACACTGACTTATCAACCTCACTTAAACAGTCTCTAGACCCAACATCAGATCACTAATAACTTGGTACGGAAATGAAAGGATAAGTGCACAAGATTGGCATGAGTCACATAGTTACGAAATTTTTATAAATACTAGCCCATTATTATTGTTAGTTGGTCTTAGTCGATCATTTTGTAATTGGACAATTCTCAGTTGACTTTCAATGCATGCCACTAAGGTACCAATTTTTAATATTTCACAGTACAATAAGTTACTGGCAGTGCATCAATACAAAGAAAAGCTATAATATATTTGTATCTATATTCTAAACTGTTAATTTTTCGACCGTAGCTGCTACTTTGATGTGGCAATCGGGCTTGCATCTGAGGCAATGCTGCCCTCCAACAAACAAAAACTGTCATATTTACTCCAAGGATTTCCATATTCGGTGGTAGGGCTTTTTGATGTACGGAGCCAACATATTAAAAGCACCCCATAAAAGCCCGTGTGTGACCGGTCTCAGGAAGTTTATTCATGGGCTCTGCGGTTGCGCTTCGAGATACGTCAAGAATAAATATCATTCTATGGTGTAGGCAACCCAGAAGTGACAACCGCTCTTACACTTCTAACAGCACTTGAGATCGTCATGTTAACGAAGCTATTAATTTATTCAAACTATTTTTGGACAGAAATGTGTTTACTCTTTTAAAAAAACCGGACCAAAAAATCAACCATTAACTAACCACTCACATACCGATCATTTGAAGATATAGTTAATTTGAAATCATCAAAAAGTAATTCACTTTCGTATAAAACAGTTAAATGCTTTTTTAAATGACGTTGGACAGGATAAACTTCAACTGGTTGAGTTGGCATTCGTGAATCCCAAGCTACACCATGAGTATGGGGATAAATTTTAAAAAATACATACAAAAATATATATGATCGATCGAAAGTAATGTGAGAATGTGTTCAACGTTTTCAGACACGTTGAAAAGTTATCCACTTGATGTCGCTTAGTAGTAATAAAAAGAATTGACTTCAAACTGGACTAAGGAACCGTGAAAACCATGTAGCTAAACATAATTGTTTGTTTCGCTAGTGAGATGCAAGCCATAAGAATAATTTGCAAAATTGAAGTGAGACAGATATTTTATCGACGGCATTCAATTATAGTGCAGAAATGTTGTGCATTTATTATAGTTTAAAACATCTGTCATTGGGTTACGACTGGATGATCTAAAGATATTGTACTACTATCAAGACCTGAAGGTCTTAGATTCCACTCCCCATTGTGTCATAAAGATATGCACTGCTGAGAGGAAAAGTTAAAACTAGAATAACACAGCTCTCTGAAACCTGGTTCTATAACCAATTAACCATTGAATGATTAGTATTACGTTTACCTACTCTTTTGGGGATGGTTCAGTTCTGTCAATTAAGCCACTAGTACAAATCATTTCAACCATATGTTATCTCAACATAGTACACTCAAAGTCAAATCCACTTACGCCGCTGGCTAAATTTCAACTCGACTGATAAAATTCGGGCGGAACCAAAGAACTAGACCAACATAAAATCGGCAAATACTTAGTGATCAATCAATTGTAAATACCTCACTCTTACAGAAAAGTCGTGACCCAAACAGCTCAACGATAACGTCTTAAACTGTGAAGTTGGGTGGAGTGGTTTCAAATCACATGGAAAGTCCTTGAAAGGTTGTAGGTACGCTTTGTTGACAAATTTCAACTGGCAGGAAACCTAGATTAAGCAGAAGTTTCCTCCGACTATCTCCAGCCACTTGCTTAGATTACTGCTTTTCAAGTCCTTAGGTCGATATCAGTTTGTGATGAGAAATAACTTTTAAACTGAAAAATTTCGGAAACCCCCCATATCTTTAAAACCAAATTATAGTTTAGGAGTTATACAAACTTTTAAAAAACAAATCCAAAATGAGTGTTTACTTTTAACGCTCAAATAATCACGGGAAAATATAATGTAATCGGAGCATTGGCCAAATTTCAAATCGGAAACTGAATTAGTGAGAATTGTAAGCACATCTGATTCGTCTGCAGCAAGACTATGAAAAACTTTAGAAAAAAAACACCAGAGTGTGAAAAAAAGGTAAAACGTAGTCATGGGAAAAGTTAATCAGGTATAGACTCCTGTACTTGGTGTCGAGCCACCCAATTGAGATTTGGTGAAACAGTATTCGCCCTTAGTCAGGTTCTGAAACACTGACATACCTGCCGACCAGCAACCATAGTTGTATTTCTCGACCTTAAGGCACCATTTGGTTCTGTATATCAACAGGTTTTGTCGCAACGTCTGTCACTGAAAGGCATACCAAAGAAGTACATTAACCTTGTACAGGCTTTCTACTCGAAGACTACTGGTTGAGTCAGAGCCCACGGCAAACTGTCATCGGAATTAGTGACTTTAAGTGACGTTCTTCAAAGCTGTCCGCTCCCCTCATTTTTATTTAGCTTCGTCATAGGCATGCTTTCAGATATAACACTTTGGACACCCGACTTTTCAGAGATTGATCTTCTACCAGGAGATTCACTTGTTGACCTAGAATAAGTGGATCATATAGTTCTGTTTGGTGAAGACGCTGACAAAATCCAGTCTTCTGACCACCTGAAGCAACAATTCAAGAATGTTTCAGATGTGGTTCTCTCTCATCAAATATGAAATGTTGTTTCAGGATTGGGCTTACATCATCGCCTGAATTTGTAACAGGGATTGGAATAGTTGCGGGCATCAATCACTCCACATATCTTGAGAGTCTCACGAGTCTTGATGGTTTGGTGTCTGACAAAACCTCAGCACGCATTCGGAAGGCTCAATCGGCTTTTGCCTAATTGCACCACTTGTGGTGTAAGTGAGATCATTCTGCCAAATAAAAGGGGAGCTTACTATGCAGTAGTTTGCTTCGTCCTACTTTGTGGGTGTGAAACATAGTCATTAAAAATAGATATTCGTGGGCTACTAGTGATTGGCCACTTATTTATTTATTTCAACACATAAACATTGGTAAAAAGGGCACCAAAAGACATGCGCCACAGTTTTTTGTGTGATTTGATAGTATAATTTAAAACCAGTAAATAAGAAAATAATGATATGCTTACCAAGAGAAGCGTGGTCACAAAGAGAGCTTGACCGTGTATCACAAAGGAAAATGGAACCCCTGTTAGTGCCATATGCAAATAATGATGGAGAAGAATTGCTACAACTAATCCCGGTGATCAGATGTGAGCGATCGTCCAAACGATCAAGCATATGATCAATGACACCTTTAAATTAGCAGTGTCAAGGAGTTTTGAGTTAAGAAAAATATATTGCATACCAAAAAAATCAGGTATAAAAATATAATTAAAACAGGATTATACATATTTGAATGCTCCTTTCAGTACTTCAAACTATCCCAGTTAGTTGATGAAATCGTTATTTGACAGATGTTTCACATTTAGTGTATTAGTATTTTATAACAACGGTTGGAATCCTTAAGAAAATACATGAATTCACAACAGTTGACCTTTGAAAACAGACTACTTAGAATTATTTCTGAAATACTATTGAAAAAATCCAAAGTGTGTTGACAAAACAACTGTTGTTTCCTAAAGTAATTTCATTTTAAAAACACATTAAAGTTGTTCCAAGTCATGTAATTACAATGAATAACAGATGACAGTTTAAACACATTTTTAAATAGTCATGATTATTTCATTTCAAATTCAAAGGTCCTTCACATACGTGGAAAAGCTATATCCAGCAAACCAATAAACTTTTGAAATAATTTCCAACACTGAAAATCATCTTAATTCGCAATCCAAAGAATTTCTGTTCATCACATTATAGTTGTATACAGGTCCATAATGAACTGATTTTCAAGTAAGAGCTTCTCTAAAGTTAATGCCTTCCATAAGTTTATTGTTCATAAGGACGCCAAAGATATATGGACCACACAATAAAAATGAGGTTGTGAAGAGGTATAAAAAGTAAAGTGAGTATAATACAAATGAACCACAATCCATAGAAATTAGTGTATGAGAATGAGAGCAGTAATAATAATGGGAGAAGCAGTCCAGTTAGGAAAAATATAATAAGAAATTTTTCCAGTTAAAAAGTCACTTCTACTTTTACGAATAAAGTAAAAGAAAAATACATCAGGATCGTCACTAGCTTCTATTCCAAGCCATTTCTGATAACATTTCAAGCTACTGTGGTGTAGCATCTCAAGGACCCCAAAAAGAGTCTTAAAGGTCCCGCAGATGCCATTCCCCTTCAGCATTCTTTCATCCTATGACACCATGTAATACATTGACCACCTCTCGAATTTTTCGAACAAGTCCAAGCATCTGCAAATAATGAACTATATGGAGTTCGTTGGGACTACATTTGCAGTACATGTTCAAGCCACCGAAGTCGATATTTCAAGATAGTGATAACAACTGAATTATCGTCGCTGTCATAAACACACGTTATCGAACCTCCCCATTACTAACATGGTGTTGCCATTGAAGGCCAGCAATCCCTAGGAGAAAACGATGGTCAGTTGGTTAACATTCTCAACTCGAAGGGGTCAGGTTTTACAAGCATAAAACAAAACTGATCTAACTGATACGTTGTATACCCGACCTTTCACAGCCAGAATAACATCACAAAGGTGCCAAAGATGACCCCGATTGGCATAAACCACTCTCGTTTACATTATGAGTTGATTTCACTACTAAGGTCACCACCAGCACTTACGTAGCTGCACAGATAAGATCGAATCGAACTGGAGAGATTTCAATATTATGAAGTGGGACTCAGAATTTATCAGCGATTTCATTCGAAAACATGACACCAATATTGAACTGTGTAACGTTTGATGGTTTGTACGAATCGAGACAAACAACTTTTATATTCTGAATTTTATAGATATAAATCTATTTTCACGAGATAAACGTTGAAAAAGTAGAATCGACTCAAGATAAAAGCGATTAATACCAACTAAATTAATGATAGTAGACAAAATGTAACTGGTTAATAAAGACTAAATAAGTCATTGGTAAAAGGATACTGAACACCTCATTAGTAACTTCTAAGTTCCACATATTAATCCTCAGTGGATCGGCAGAGAAGAAAGTTTCACGGTCAGCAGAGGGTGACAAACCGACAATTGAAAAACCATGGGCACGAGCAAATACCTTTTTATTCTGTACACGTATATTTGTATTTCCATAATTCTTCAAACAGACAGGGACTTTGATATCGGATAATGACCTGATAACAACTTTACGTCGGCAACCGGATTCAACGGGGAAATTCAGATTTGTAAACGATTGTGTCGGTAGTTCAGTCAACTGCCAAAGTTTTATAGTACGTTCTGTAAAAATAATACCAATGGTGGGACTGATCAATCTAATGGCATGTACCATATATGCAATGTGTATTAGAAAAATTTAAACATCTGACCAAAAATCTTCAGATTTGAATATATATATATATATATATATATATATATATATATATATATATTTGCACAGCCAATATGCATTAGTATTAAACTTTTATTCACTGGGTTAATCGTTTCAAAAAGGCAAGTAAATTATTTATTTATTTATTTTAACACATAGGTATTGGTACAAGGAGACACCAAATACATATGCGCTACACAAATCTCATTGAATATGTGAGGGTTGTGATACTGCTCAGGTGCTCAAACAGAAGCAGATGGTTCTTTTAGGGAGTCACACCCAGAGCCTTCGATCTAAAAGTCTGGCCCACAAGGCAGTGGAGCAACGTTAGGAGATGCAGTCCCATGTTAGCCGGTGACCAACAATAGGTTCATACGCCATTTTTTCCCTCAGGATACTGGGGCCTATGTGCACCACTGTCTTGGGATAAGGGTTTCCCAACTCCCCTAGATGGAATCTCCATGTCCACCAACCCGGTTAAAGCGCCGGACATTCGCCTTTCCTCCTCTCCATTTCGTAAACAACACCCGTGTTGCGAGAAGGTAGTGAGTAGGACTTCCCTGGCAGGAGCTATATACACGTGGCCATGTGAGAGCATTTTGAGAGAGAGGACTCTCCCCACTCTCGGCCGTACCATGGCATTTGGGGGCCAAGTAAATAAAAAAATTAGGTATAAGTCGTGGTTAAAACTAACGGTTTCTTGTATGAAACAAATATAACTCATTTTTAAGCAGAGGTGTATGGTGGCTAGCATTGGAATCGAGGATGCGCGTTTCTCCCTATTTGGGACTCTTCAGGTGAATGTACCTGAAACCAGTACATATGAGCTAAATATCATGAGTCACTTTATAAGAATTTGTTTCTCTATTAGCAATCTTAACGGTGTTTGTGTTGGTGTAAACAGCTGCACTAGAATACATTAAGCTGACCAATTCCAAATGAGCTTTTAGATTCCATTGCTAGATATAATAGTATAACTCATAGTTTAAACATCAGGTAGATGTTTAAGACGAGAATCATTATTGTTTTTCAGTTGTGATCAACAGTCTGGATTAATAAGCAATGGTGGAGAGAACATTCCTCGCGAAAATCTAATTATCGACGCGAAACTCCCTTGTAATCAAAAGATAACAATGGATACAACAGCTAGTCACGGAAGTAAGTTCATCTGAAGAAGAGACAAACTTATGCACAGATATCAACATGATTCTCACAAATTATTTAAGACCTAAGTGTTCCTACTGATCTCATAAAAATACTTTGATGACTTGTAAGATAGCACACGAGCACTTCCCCAACTAGCCAAATGTATCTCGCAAAACTTGTGTTACTGAACACCAAGGTCAAAACATTCCGCTTGCTAAATCTGTACAATCTTATTATCAAAAACGAACAACTACGAAGTAAACCCAATCCTTTCGTTTATGTTATCTGTTAATATTTATGGTTGATGGGGTAACTGACGAATATTTACTTCCCACTCACTGTGCTTAAGATCAGCGAAAGTATTGATGTATCGACTACTGACTGGATGGGCAGGACCATGTACATGGTTACTGATTTCTATCCGTTATTCTCGACAAAATCGAACACGGAAATAAAGGATAATAGAATGGGCACCCTGAGTAACGCAATATTAGAATTGCCACCGATATTGACTGTGGTCTCTAAGATTGTCTATCACCCTTTTTAATTTGCTAGTTACCAACCTTCAGCTTGAAAAGCATAAGTATTCACTTGCCACACTGGTAAATAGGACTTTGAGTTCGAGGGTGACGAAATCTACTGGCTACAACTAGTTAGTCCACTTTTTAGATCTTTGTCTTTGGAAGCAATTATTCCCCCATAATTCAATACTCTAATTAATGATTACCAACGAACAATGATTCGTTACATACACGTAAAGATAAAATACTGTTTACCTATTTATAAACCTGATTTACATAATCAGTTTGAAAGATTCCTGACCTCAAACATATAACCTTGCAACTCAGTCATAACATGACTGATCGTGTAGAAGCTTTATTATGAATATTCAAAATAACTCCAAAGCTTAGAAAAATAATTGTCAAGGACATCAGAAGGGATTAAGATTATTCCGAGTGGGTAACTTATCAGGACATTTCATTTAATAAGTGCAAATACTAAAAAATGAACCAATATCTTCGAACAACTCTTTCCATAGTAATATTAGAAAGTTTAAGCTTACCATTGGAAGATAACAAGAAGTGGGAAAGCCCGGATTTCGGGAGCCAGCGTATAAGGTTTATTTTCTCCTCTATTGCTTGAGACTTTAGACAGTCAAACTCTGGTTCGTGGCTTAGGAAAACTTGATAGGGTTTCGAACAGGAATGACAATGGTGTGTTGTTTCAGAAAGATCCTAATTCTAGCATTATCATCAAAAATCTAGGTCTACAAACCGCTTGGCCAATTTCAATGACACTAACAATCCCATCGGCGTTTCCATAAGCCAGATGTGTGCCTTCTTTGTTGAACTCTATTACTGAAATAGCTGTGAAACGATGTAACGATATTAATGTGTACTTACGTCCTGAACCTTCGATTCTTCTCAGAATTTCGTTGCAGTACCATTTGAGTCGGCCTATTGTAAAATAAACATGACGGTAAGAAATCACTTTTACGACATACCAGATTGGGCCACAACATCACAGGACGGAGCAGCATACTGCCCAATAGGGCTTTGCATGTCAAAAAGTTGCGCAACATTCAACACGTGCGCCTAGCCCGTTCGAACTTCTTCATTTCTCAATGCTGATTAGCTTTATATGTAAATTCTACAGGACTAACCCAACATATAATAGCGCCTAAGCTACTTACAACACCTTAAAAATACGCAAGACTTACCCAAAATTCAATGTATACAGATTTAAAAGCTTTGCAATCAAATGTCTTGGATGCGCGCTATTTAAAAGTACAATGGTGTTTTGACCTCGCTGAGTTAGTTTTATTGTTTTAATGGTTTATTGCTTACCAAGACTATTTTTCACTTTATCTGAATTTATTTCAGTTAAACTATCCGGTAAGAGTATCGTTTTGGTTTCTAATGTATTTTATCGTCGGTACCTTTGAGCACATTTTTTCTAATGTATTTGTTAGCGATTTTGGTTTTAACAATTTACAGATTTTCACCTTTTGGTCATAAGTTTCTACTGTCTTTGAGGATTGTTGTATCTAGTTCCTTTTTGAAAACCTCTGAATCAAGTCTGAACAGTGCAAAAAAAGCTATCGATACATCGTCGAAAGCGGCGTGCAGCGAGAGGAGTGTGATGGATGGTTCCATGAAGTTAGCATGAATCCAACGCTTGTATCCCTTAAACGGTTCAATAAAAATGGTTGTGTGTGGTTTAGTAAGCAGTGCTACTCGGACAGCTTGCTAACCAAGGCCATCACAGTGGTAAACATTGCTGAAAGATTGTTAGCAAACTTAGTCGAGACACGTCAGATTGTACTCGCTCGGTCGATTGATGTGAACTCACCCCAAACAGAGTCAGCACTGACTGACTTATGTAGGCCAAAGAAGGAAACGTCGACTTCAAAGAGGTCTATCCGAAATAAAGGCCCAAGAATGAAAGTTTCTTCCGTCTCCCGTCTTCCAAATGACAGCCAGCAGGAAACGCCTAAAAAACCTAGTCGTATGGCTAGATATATTTCCGTCAGGAAAAAAAACTGACCACCCAGGTCGTTAACAATCAACTTGGACCTCATAGTGTGTTTCGCATGACTGTGGTCGCTACCCCATCAGAAGTTGATGAATGGGTTCAGGTCGAGAATAATGAAGGACCTAATATTATCAAAGAAAAACTAACGCTTTAAAAGTAGCTGAGAGGTTAAAACTTTATCACAGTGACAGATCAGTTATCTTTACTAGGGTTAAAGGGAGTGGAAACTCAGAGCCTTAAAATCGTTTTGAGCATGATAAGAATTTTGTGCAGTTAGTTATGACAGACTTATTTTGTAATTATTTTTTGCTAATACTTTCATTTCTTCACATTTACTGCAAATGACTGTGAAAACGTTGTTTAGAAAGGCATGCCTTTGATTTTCCGTACCCTTTTCTAACACCACATAGCATGACACACTGATTATCGCTCACAAATACACTGCTACACTCATGTGCCTTTTGTTCTCAATTACTTATCGTTATGATAACAGAACTCTAATGTATTTGCTATATATGCTTATAGATCACAGTGATATATTTACTACATGCTTTGTTTGGATATACATCTCCAACTATAAAAATAGGGGTTGTAGTAATAAAATACATATAACTGTGGATTATAAGGCCACAAGGAACTCGACCACGCCAACTTCTGACAATTTATGTAACGTCCTGTGTATTTCTCTTGTGTATGGATTATATCCAATGTATTGATACATCATTTTCCTTTCGTAATAACTTTATTATTGGAACTAATATATTCTTGTTCCAACACCAGTTGACAAAACAACTGACCCCTCAAAATACCCCTAAAATCACCTTGCTAAATGTTTATAGACTCAAGTCATACGGACTTTAATCATAACAAAACCAAGTTGTTAAAAGTAGTATTTAAGTCTTCCAACCAAGTGAAATTAACACTGTAGAATGGATATAAACTAAAAGGGCCGGGAGTTTTTGTCTGTAAACACTTGATGCTCATGGACCGTATCTTCTGAAACATGAATACTAAGGACAGGATAAGAGTAGATGTCTAAAGAAGCTTCATACGCCGACTGCTAGGATGTGACTTCACTCTCAACTACATAGATGGATGTAAGCACCTCTCCTTAGAACCATTACAGTATAGTCGGCTAACGAACAATCTAATATTTCTATACAAAGCATTACATGCAGTCATATTTCTAACCTCCTGCATAATCATGATCCGTAATCCAGTCTACAGACTCAGAAACAACCCACATACATTGCTTACAGTAAAACACCGGAAACCATTGCGTTGTAAGATATTTACAGCATAGTTTATTATCGAATAGGTTGGCACTACTAATCCGTAACTGGGACACTATCATCAACTTCAAAAGACTATTAACACTGTTACTTGACACTAAAGAGCTTCATCAATTATTCCCTGAAATTCCGTCCACTAATGAGACACTTTATTATGGACCGCCTAACATCTAGACCGATCATTAATATAACAGACTGCCGTTAACATTAATATGAATATAACCAAATGATAGAACAAATGGTTAACCCTCTCACATTATTCATTCCCATCGAAGCAACCACAAGCATGCTTTATCTTCTATTCGAAAAGATTTGGGAGGAGGAACAGGTGCCGATGGACTGGAAAGAAGGACACCTCATCAAGATTCCAAAGAAAGGAGATCTGAGCAAATGTGAAAACTACAGAGAAATTACACTACTGTCAGTACCAGAAAAGGTCTTTAGCAGAGTTTTGCTGAACCGGATGAAAGATGCAGTAGACGCCCAGCTTCGAGATCAACAAGCTGGATTCCGTAGGGATCGGTCGTGCACAAACCAAATTGCGACACCACGGATCATCGTCGAACAATCAGTGGAGTGGAACTCGTCACTACACATCAACTTCATTGATTATGAAAAGGCATTTGACAGTGTGGATAGGAGAACGTGATGGAAACTTCTTCGACACTACGGAGTTCCTGAGAAGATTTTCAATATTATCCGGAACTCATATGACGGACTACTGTGCAAGGTCTTGCATAGAGGACAACCGACAGATGCATTCCAAGTAAGGATCGGAGTCAGACAAGGCTGTCTACTCTTTCCCTTTTTTATCTGGTGGTTGACTGGGTTACAAAGACCTCGACTTCTGAGTAAAAACACGGAATACAATGGACAGCTCAAAACCAATCAGTCGAGTTGGACTTCTCAGATGACCTAGCCCTCCTATCGCACACACATGAACAAATGCAGATAAAGACAGCCAGTTAAGCGGCAGTCTCTGCATCAGAAACCCTCAGCATACACAAGGGGAATGTTCAACATTGTAAGAGCCTACAGAACCCAGAAGCGTAGAGGAGGAGAAGCTCAATTACATGTCACATTTAGGCAAGAATGGTCGTGTACTTATAGTCTTTGATTTCCATATTTTTGAAAACAAAGATGTCTCATCCCAAGCCAGATCAAGTGTTTACAAGAAATTATACACTCGGCATCTTCAGCGGATTGGACAATAGAATCATAATTCCCTATTAAAACCGCTTAGGAGGTGTTCAGAAGTGTGTACATAAAAATTACTGTACTGAATGACCCTTGAACAACAAGAAGTTCAAAAACCTCACCACCATGGTTCAGTAAGGAGGCTTACATCCTTTATCGTGAGATGAAAAGAATGTGCTAGAGATCTGGGTCGCAGTTTACTGACGAAACAAAACTTAAATATCAGGAAGCCCGAAAGATTTGAGCCTCCACCATCAATAAGTCTAGAAGATTATATGAAGAAAGGCTTTGTAAGAAGTCTATAGAATATCGCAAACGCTTATATTCTTATATAAACCGAAGAACTAAGAGGGTAGGCAGCATCTCCGAACTTTGTCTAAGCTAGTGAGATTCTTACAATTTGTCCGATCAACAGTATGGGTCCCCTGGCTCTTGAGCCTTCTTCTGGCCATCGATCTGTAAACGATTAGGGTTAGCTTGCGTTTAAGATGCTGGCCTGGCCTAGAAGCACACTGCAATGCCACCATGTATTCGTCCGCTGTTAGCTTCCACTACGCTCGTGGACAAAAGAATGTTGAAGATGCTCCCTCATAGTCGTGTGTTTCACTCCAGTGTATGGAACATTCTCCTCCCTCTAAAGTATCCTGTTTGTGACCTAGGTAAAATAAAGTGGTCACTACTTTCTAATGGCGCATGAACATAGATATCCTTGACTAGATTTTAACCATTTGTCAGTAAATGATCTAATTCTGAGGTTTTTCCGTCCATATACCATCTCGTGGCATCATCCACATGTTCGGTTAGTCCTGAAAGTTTGATAGCTGCAGCAACTTGCTTATGGAGCCACATTGTAGGGGTTATATCCTGCTTGCCGAGATTTAGGGATGGAATGTTGAAGTTCCCAGCTAGTGATATGTGGTCAAATCCCAGGTAGAGCAGCTTTACTATCACCCTTATTGTCTCATCTTTTTGGGTGTTAGAACCTCTGGGGGCCCCGTATATCCTTCAATCAAGTACTTAATGACGCTCACCCTGAATCAACACCAACATGGTCCTGTCACCTAGGCGAATTAGGTAGTAGTAGTAGTTTTGTCTGCCCTACTTCTTCATTCACGGTGTCAGGCAATAACTGCATTTTAGTTAGAATAACAATATTCGGGTCCAGTTGAACGCATGTGTTACTGATCTTCCCTAGTTTACTCTTAAGTCCTCTTATGCATCTATAGAGGCCCTTATTGGTTTGTCTTACAACGTAGTGCTAATGTGCAGCAGCTTCCGCCCTCTGGGTTTTAGTTAGATTGTTCCCTACGGTGTGTTGTACGGATCCATAAGAGCTGACTGCTGTAGGCCTTTTGCCTGTATAGCGTATCTCACTTGCAGGACCATGGTACCTATGTCCTGTACCAGGGGTTGTAGATCAAGATCGACCGACATCAAGGTATGTTTTATTGGGCTTCGCTGCCGTTGTTTTATCGGACTGTCATCAGAATTGATTACCTCAAGTGGTGTTCGTCAGGGCTGTCCACTCTCCCCATTCT